AGTCCATCTGAATGGTCCAGCCACTCTGTGCAGGGACCCTCAGAGCTTCCACCAGACTCCATGAGTCACACAGGGAGGATGACGTCATTCCCTGTCACTTTTCCCACCCACACCACCCATTTCCAGCTGCCATACATCTGTCTATCACTGCCAACACCTCTCCAGCACAGTAAGCACCGTCCATCCCTTCAGTACCACTCTCCTGCCTGTGGCCTCTAATTCAAGATGGAGGCCTCCTCCACTGTCTATCCAACAAGGGAAAGTCTCCATTAAACAATGGATTTTTGGCAATTCTTCTATTCATCCTTCTAGAACCCTAATTTGTAAAGCCAAATAGAGCTAGAACAGACAAGGATTGAGACGACATCTTAGAATCAAATCCTCATTTAGTTTGCACTTATATGTCAACTGGCCTGAATAATGTTGATTACACTATCCGCTGGAGAGAGGGTTAGCATCCAGAACAATTTGGGTTTTGTTTGGTTTCATCATGTTACCAGTTACAAACAACACTCTCAGTTTCACAATCAGTAAAGTTTTACAGCAAATTTAAATCTTGGTCCTATAAGAGTAATCTCAGAATCCAGTTGTTTCTAAAATCTGAGTGGTTGCAGGAGGCCCACAAATGTCTCTGGTCTCCAACATGGTCTACCCACACAGCAAGTCTGGGGAGCTGCATCCTTGTGACTGCAAACAGCCCTGGAAGCCCTCTACCACATCTCCATATGGGCTTTTGTTTGGGGTTTTGTTTTACAGAAAGGGAAGTTCTTTTGTGCAGAGTTGTATTGGGCACCAGCCAGTAACTCAGAAGGACCAAAGTTTTAGCTAAGCGCTATCCATTTTACGATTTTGCAGACAAATCACAGGAAACTGCTTAGAATTATTATGATTATTTTTTGTTTTCTCTCCCTGGGTACATCACATATCACTGAAAACGCCGGAAACCCACGGACTGACTGCAAGAGGCTCTAATTCCCATGAGCAAGTTGTCCTTGGGCCCTGATTGTCACTTGCCTGTATTTTATTTATCTCACATCTCAGCAAATACAGTATTACTTCTCCAATAGAGTAGGTTTGTGATAGCATCACTCCTCGGGTTATTTATCATACATATCTGTAATTGAATTACCTATTGCAGTAATGGGATTTACTCTCAAACATACATAAAATTGCAACATAAAATAAGATTGTTCCAGTGTGTGTGTCCTCATCATTCTGCATGAACTCTAGGTCGGCCAATTTCACAAGGAATACAGTGACAAATAATGAATGAAAGACAGGAAGATAAAAGATCAGTGGGTTCACAGCCAAACATAAAAGAAACGCATCCTCTAAGAAATGTATTCTTTCATAATGTTTCTTTCAATGCTAATCAGGAAGACAATTCTAGTACACGTGGAGGAAAAGAGTAAAAATGCAGTGATTGTACTCTTTTCAAATGCATAATAAGTACTATGGAAATATGTTTAGATCTTAGGAAAGTGGGTTCGATCTTGTCAAACAAACAGTACTCTTAGACAAAAAAAAAATGCTCTGGCCTTTTTGAGCTCACTTTCTAACACCCTGCTCCTGGTGACACCTGACTTGTCGTTGAGGTGCCTGGCTTTAAAAAACCCTGTGAAACGGAGAGCCAGGTTTCCTAAGTTCTGGGATATTGCTAATGGCAAAGATTGACTGTATTAATACCCATATGTTAAAGTAGTGACTTCTCTTGGAAAAAGTTGTCCACTTGCTTTCATCTGTTTAGTTTAAATTCTGAGTTATTAAAAGTGAAAAGTTTACGTATATTCTAGCTTACTTTAATTTTTTTCCTCTTTTTTCATGATCTAAAATTAATTTTGTGTTTCTAGGTAGCCAGTATCTGAAAAATTCATCAAAGAAATAAGTGATAACATTTCCCAAACATACTACCAGCTGCTTCATGAAACTGCTTCCCAAAGAGCTAGTCCTCACCTGTTGAATATATCTCCATGATGCCACCAATCTGCAAGAATCCGAAACAGCAGATTGCCCCCTAGCTATGACAGATCATTTCTGCAGGGCAGCAGAGTGATAAAAACCAGGAATTTTCAACCAGACTTCTTCATCTTAATTTAGAAACTTTACTGGGAGCATATGTGTAAATGTCTATTTTGTCAACAAGAGAAGACAGCATACACAACTTAAAGCACTCATTTGAGGAGTCGAGAAAACAGTTAACTTTCACAATATGAATCTGCAAACAGATGCAGGTAGGATGAAAGGTCCCCTTTAGACACTTTGCACTTTATTGTAACTCAATTTGTTAGACACTGTAATTTACGTTTTAAACATTATTGAATACTAAACATTAAAACTTGACACCTTGGTACTATAATTATATCCTAAGCAATTTATCTGGGTAACTATAGCAACAATTTCAAAAACATTTTAAAAATTTTTAAAAATTGGTATAATTTTAGAAAGAATTATAAAGGATTTAATGCAGGATGTAGGAATGCTTTTCTCAAATAGTTGTGCCTATGCTACTACAAAAATATTTGACTGGAATTTATTACAAAATAATTAACTCAGTCTACCTCACACACCATGTGACTTGGAGTCCAAACCTCTTTCTTGGGATTAGTTTCTGACCTTTGTGAAGTCTGGACTTCTTGATCACTTATTTACCTTATTTAGCCTTTTTATCTTTGGCTGGATATTTATCAAAGTTCTACTCTCCTCTCCTCCACCTTCCTGTATGTGCATCAGAGGCAAAGCCTCAATTTCAATGACTTCATGAGAAGAAAAACAAGGACATTTGGAATCCTTATAAACAGTCCCCACGTTAATTAAAACCATGCAATGGTTCAAATAGGCAGTTCTCCTGACATCAGGAATGGCCGACAGTCCCCAAGGAGCGGGCATCTATTTTGAGCAACTAACACACAAGAGAGAGGAAGGTTCATTGGTCTTATTTTTGTCCCCCAGAAAGACACTAAGGGAGACTCTAAAGCCAAATTTCTTATAGATCAACGAACAGGCTTCAGATGGCCCAGCAACCCTCTAAAACATATGCAAAAACTTGCAAGAATGTGCTTACATTTACTTTAGTCTCATCATCATTAAGTTTTAATAGTCTCTGCACTAGGTCTCCATTCCCTTCGTCTCAGACATGGTGAAGAAATCATTTGAAAACAGCAGTAAAGAACACAGATTTATTTTTACCAAATTCTGAACATCTCAAAAACTTCCTTTGGACAGAAACAAGCTTTCCCACCCAGGAGACCAAAGACTGCTCACAGCAAGGATCTTGCAGCTGTTTGTCATTAAAACACTAAGTAAGCTAGTACAATTTATAAAAGGCATAAAATGATTAGCATCATCCATCTACTTCCTATTAAGAAAAGTACCAGTTGGCTTAAAAAACAAAAACAAAACAAAGCAAAAAAACATGTAAACTAGGTACCAGTTCAGCAACGCCAGAGTCCCACGAATATACAGTGTGTTCATGAGCAGCACAGGGGATGAACTGCTATCTCAAAAGTTTTTACAAGAAACAAACTCAAGTGGCCAATTGCATTTAGGACTGCTTTTCCATGTAAACCAATATGAAGCAAGAAATCTGGGGGAATCTTTGCTTTTGGGGGGAGTAAACTCAGTCCCTGATATGTTACTTCAGTTTTACACCCTTAGAGTATTATCTGATTTCGCTGAAGTTTGCAAACAAAAGAAATTATGATAAACCTCACCCTCTCTTAAATAATGAAAATAGGATTAATTAATCCTAATTAAGTATTGAAAAATCTTTTCATTAAAGCCTGGTTTTGTCTTTCTGCATCTCCTCATGAAAGACTCCGTAATTAATAACGCATCTGCTGTTCTCAAACTCCACCGTTATGACAGAGCTCTTCTGGGTAAGCTGTGACACACAATCGTTTTTCTTAAAAATGAGCTGCAACAACTGTTTGCAACTCCTGGTGTTTAATGTACTTGTACGGAGTAGAACTTTATGTCAGTATTAAACGTAACTCTAAATACCTTCAATTTCTTTTTTATTTTTTTCTGGATAAATACAGTAGTCACAAGGAGAAAGACGAATGTGCAGGCAAGAGTTTGCATGAAAACATCTGTCTCTGCAAGAGACCTTTCTAGTTACAAGACTTGTATCCATGTTCGCCTGTCATTTCTAACAAGGCAGAAAGCTTTCTGTGGCCAGAAGACCAGCTCCTTCCAGGCTCTGCCTCCGCCACGAAATTACAGCAAGAGCTGCCTGGTTCTGCTGATCGCTGCCTGAACCCCCCACCCACTCACCCAGGACAGGGCAACTGCCTGTAGCATCCATCCTCTCCTTCTCTCTGAGCGCTCGCTCTCAGCGCCCCCTGCCGGGGTTTTCCGGGACGCCGCAGGAGCAGCAAAGTTAAATCCCAACTCTGGGCAGCCGCATCCAGGTACAAAGCGACCAGGGCACTAGGAGGTGAAACAAGCTTCCCGCCAAAGCCCCGGGAATCGGGATCTGATCGCGCTAGGCCCAGCACTGAGCGCCACGGGCTGTGATACTGGGGAATCACTCCTCCGTCCCAGTCCTCTGCAAATCTTAGAAGGAACATTTCCTCTGGGGCAAGGAGCCAGGGAATGTTAAATCCGCGGAGCAGCGGAGAGATATCAACAGAAAAGGGGCTCGCCTAGTTGCAGCCCACTGGCAGGAGCTTCCCCAGGCCTCTGCATCTCCGCCTTAGTCGCCCTTATTAACCAAGAGCTTGGCAGAATTGCGCCCAAGTCCCACTGCCTCCAGGTTCGCGCGCGCTCTGCAAAGCTCCTGTAAACGAGATCAGGAAACGGTGCACCAGCCGGCTGGGCTGCTGCGAGGTGGCAGCTCCCCGGGAGAAGCCGCGACCGCCGGGCCCCCGGCACCCGACAAAGCAATACCTGCTGCTCGCTGGTTGCACGCAGATCTCCACTGCGCACCATTCGGAGGTGTCAGGCAGCGGTCCAGTCTCGCCCACAGCCGATTAGCCCACCACGATATTCCCGCTCCTTACCTCCACACTCTCAGACCTCTGCAAAGGCGAGAACACAAACTTCGAGCCCGTGCACTAGCTCAACTGTGGGCGCCCCCGCACTGATGGTGGTCCTATTCCAGTACGCGCAGCTACCAGGCTGTCCCCGCCCAGGTGCCTGCAGATCGACCCTATCCGAGATCTACACCACCCACTAGCCAAACGCTGCTGTCCCTGGGTCCCGGCTACAGGCTCAGTCCACCGCCAAGCGGGAATCGGGCAGGGAGCTCGCTCACCAGGTGCGGGGCGCGCTCCTCGTGCCAGTCATCCAGCGCCCTGGGGCCCGGAGCGGCTCCTCTTCAGCACCGAGAGAGAGAAGTGGAGGCAGCCACTGCTCTCTGCCACTTCCCCAAAGTCGCCCCCTAATCGATGTGCTCCAGGCTGGTGACCCGCTCGACCTCAAGGAGCACAGAGTTCTTGGGGGCAGGGTCGACCTGCGGATGGGCAAGTTCGCGCCCAGCTCAGGAGACGAACGAGGGGGCAAAGTGGGGTGCCCGAGCCAGCTCCACGGGGTAGCTGCGAGTGGGAGAAGGGAGCACCCCGAGACCGGCTGTACTGGCCCGGGCGCCCCCGCGCAGAATAAGTGGAAGGCTGTGGCCACTGCGGCGCAGGGACCGCGGGCAGCCCGAGGCTCCGGAGCCCACCAGCGGCGGGAGGGCAGCGCGCGGGAGCAGGCGCAGCGAGAGAGCCGCCGCCGGCGCCGCCTTCCCGGCAAGTAGAGCCGCGCAGGGTGCGCGGGCGGGGAGCGCGGGCCGGGAGCGCGGGGCCGCTTCGCCCCGCCCCCGCCCCGCCCCCGCGCCGCACCTCCTCCTTCTCCCTCCGGAGTGAAACCCGAGCGCCCCACCCCGCGCCTGACCTCCCCGGGCCCCTCCCCCGGGCCCGCCCCTTCCCGGTTTGGGACCCCTTAGCGCCGAGGGTGCCCCCTGCACCCCAGGAGTTCACTCCTGCCTCCCAAGGGTAAGTTCTCCCGAGCGTTGACTTTTCAAGGACTCTTTCACCGGCCTCGCGGAGACCTTCCGTGGCTCCCCGCCCCCGGTCCCGTCCCTCCGACGTGGCTACTTTTCGGGGTGGGCAGTATAAAGGGCCGGAGGCAGCGCGGGCCGAGACCCGAGACGTGGCGCGTCCGCCCTACCCGTCTATGCTACAGGTACGTGAGCGTCCCGTAGTGGGATCGGTGCAGAGGGTGGGCGGGAGCCATCGGTCCTCTCGGACTCGGAGTTTGAGATTTTGTTCCTCTGTGACATCCTCTTGCGTGCTGAGCAAGAAACTCCTTAATGAAGACTGGGAGAGTCGCTGAGGGTTCTTGAAGGAGCAGTTTGGGGGTGAGGCTCCCACCTAATTCAGGCCGCTTTCAGAGGGGTTAAACCAGGGAAATGAACACGTGTGCCGGACCAGGGAAGCAGATCAAGAGATCACCAAATAGCCACGCTGAGCTTAGGCAGAGAAGCTCCATCTAGACCAAAGTCATCTCTTCCAATTCTGGGGCAGAAATTCCCTGTTGCACTTTTGCGAGATGTTTGGGCCTTGCTGATTAAACACTCCTCGGATGAGAAGTTTATAATTGGAAAACAAAGTACCTTTGAAGACTCCTGTAGCTTGATACTTTGTTGCAATTCTACAGCTTTTAAGGAGAGAGGTCAGCTTCTCTGGGTTTAAAACTGTGAAAATGGGCGAGTGTTAAAATAATAGGATAAGACAGTAAAACCTGGGTTCTCTGTCCTGTCCTGAATGGTCATGTGTAACCCTTTCCCTCAGGATGGGGGTGGGGGACAGTCTGCGTTTTTGGTTTTTTTTTTCCTTCCTTCTATGCTTCAAAGGATGGCTTTAAGGTGCTCCTGCCTAAGGAAACTATGAATGTCCTCTCTCAACCGCAGTAACATAAGGATGGCCGTATGGTCCATGTTCACACAGCCGCTTTTAGAGTCAATGCCAGCCCTTTGATGGGTCAGGCAAATACTGAGAACAGTCCTGTACCTCCATGGGATTCCATTGAGTTCATCCATGAAACACAGCGCCATTGCGGGTAGAGCAGATCCAAGAGGAGGACAGTAGCATATAAGTTGCCATCAATCTGTCTTTATTTCCTATTATTGTTCTAATGAAAGAAGTGAAACACTTCTGAAGGCGTCCATATAAACCCATTCCATACCCAAATGCCTAGTCTCTCCAACTGGTGATGGGGCTGCCTCGGATGCTTGGGGCCACACTCTGATTTCCTTTAAGAGGTCTGGGAGGAAGTGTCAGTCCAGTCCCTGGCAGCCCCCTTGGTAAGCATTCCTCCCTGAGCTGGGCTTCTAGCCTGGTGCGTGGTAGCTGCTGGCTTCTGGGACTTGAATGAAAACCTTAGCACTTTACTTTCTGTGCTGGGGGTGGGCTCCATTCCGGACATTCCGCTTCTCTGGCCTACGTGGCACAGGCCTAGGAGCCTCTCTGGAGCAGGCGGCTGGCCAAGCTCTTGCCTGGATGCCTGGTGAAGGCGGGGGAGGACCTCTGCTTTATGCTGAACCCGAAGTCTCTCAGATGGGCAGCTCAGAGCTCATACACGGGAATGAAGACCGAAATTAGGACCAAATATATTTACCAAACTTTTCCTTGCCTCTTAAGGTAGCAGTTGAAAGCAGCCAACACTTTTTTTTTTCTTTTTAATTTAAGAAAAAGAATTTCTTAACAAACAGAGTTAAGCAGTGGAAAGAGGACTTTTAACACTTAACTAGGCAAATTAAGTAATTTTGTGTTATCTGGGGAGTGGGGGGATTCAGTTTTGCTGTTTCAGGTTGTACTGAACCATCCTTAAAAGAATGTATTTTAGTGATAATTAACTACAAATTACTAATAATTAGCAAGGAAATAAATGATAATTTAGAGTGCATTCTTGGCTTAAAATGAAACGAGTGTCAGTTGAGGATTGCGTTTGACCTGGCTCTCTTTAAAATTATTTTAAAGTATACAGAGTTAGTTCCTTTTTCTAAATGAAATTTCCTTTCCTTTTTCCTTTGAAAAAGACTTGCTCACTTACATTAAGCTGCTTCTCATCACATTGTACAATTAAGGGTAGTCGTTTTTAAACAAAAACTGTTTAGTCCTCTTCAGAATAGAAATACAGTCCTCCCTAATCTGCTTCAGGTGAACCATGCACATGAGGTCAATGAATGAGATGACCAAAGCGACACATGGTGAAAATGATGAATTCTGGGGCACTGATTCATATGACTTGAAAAATGCCATCCATTTCCTGATTCACCACAATCTTTACTCTGAAATATAAAGCATCACTTGTGTCTCTGGACTAATCAGCCAATTCTGTCTTGTCTTTACACCCCTCTCTAGTGCTTGAATTTGGGCCATAAGGCTCAACTGCCAGCCCAGAGCCAAGGAACAGGGTGGGGGCTGAAGGAGCATCACCTGGAGGAGAGGCAAAGATGCTGCTGGGGACCACAAGTGCCCTTTAAAGGAAACCATGGGAGTGGTGGTGTTTAAGATGTGGTAAGACAGTATTAAAATTCTGGAGGGAAAAAAAAAAAAAACCTCAGTCCAAAATGTGTGACCTCTTTTCATTTACCTCTTAACTGGATTTTCCTAAAAATGATCGAGGCAAGTGTTACAATTGTCATCCATGCATTTCTCTTTTTATCCTTGGTTTCCTTCTTTTAGATCCATGGCATTTAAGAACTGAGAAGAAAAAGAAAAAAAAAAGAAACTTAAAAGGAAAAAAGAAAGCTTGATCATCTGAATTATCCCATCATTTTTTTTTCTTAGCACAGCTAGACATTGCTTAAAAAAAAAAAAAAAAAAAAAAAAAAGTGAAGTTTGATGACTCAGTGTGGTTGCCTAGAGTTAGAGCTCTTTTTTTTTTTTCCATATACTATAAATGACTTGGAAGACTCATGATTGTGGCTATGGGTGACACCGTGATGTCCCCAAAGTTTTGACAGATGAAGAATCTCAAGATGGGGAGATTTCAGGGAACTCACAGCCCCTACTACATTCTCTTGAGCTTCACCAAGTTCGGTTTACGGTTCTTTTGCCCCAGGAAGCATCCTGGTCCTCCCACGCAGAGCTCACTCTCTCAGTGCTTACCTGTAAGCAGACCAGTTCTGTTCCTAAAGCAACAGCCCAGACTCTTTGAAAGAAAGTGGCCTTGGCACATTTGAGAATGACCACAAGTGGGCGTGTTGCAAAGCAGGAGTTCCTGGTCCCTATGCTGTGCTAGTCTGCACTGAAGACTCCATCAAGGTCCCTTCTCTGACATCTGATTTCCACCTGGTTCTACCCACGGCTGCCTCACCTTTGCCAGGTAGAGGGATGTGCTTTGTTGTTGCTGGTTGTTAAATGGAAGCTGATACAGAATGACCTGCCCTCAGCATTCCAGGTGAGTTCTTCTCACCTATGGGTTCTCTTGAATTCATTTCCCAAATGAGAACCATATCCCTCGACCTCATGCCACATTCAAGAAAGCAACCCAGTTAAGTCCAGTGGCCAAAGCAATGAACGGCTCAAAATGCAACCACCCAAGCCTACATTCAACAAGACGTACTCACTATCAGTTACAGGGGATGTTTCATAGCAGTTTTTTTTTTTTTTTCCTTTTCTTTTTTTTTTGGGGGGGGGGGCGGGGGAGTATATAGCCATCCTTAAAATTTCAGTAAGACATTGTATTTTACTTCAGCTATATATACAGAAAACCAAAGTATTCTAGAAATCTAGAAATAGTTTGCCTTATCTTTTGGGTTATATTTCTAGATATATTTTTCTAGCCACCCAGTTTCCTTAAGATAAAACTGGTGTCCTCAAAACAGCCCAAGTTGTCTTTTATAAGTTTGGTGCAGGGAAAGGGGAAAATGCTAAGTTTAAAAGATTTTTGGAATATCTACAGGAAATGCAGATGGTTTGTGGCATGAAGATAAAGCATCCGTATGGTTAGCTGAGTGTTATTTTCTGACATTGAGACTGGGATATATCTTAAGTGCCTATGAGTAAAGAATGGGTATTAAAAAAAAAGATATTTGACACTTATTAATCAATGTCATTTATATTCCTGACTTTGAAACTAGAGCTTTGGGAGGAAATAAGTACCTTTGTAAATGTATTTTCAAAAATAGTGTTCACCCTCCTTAGACTTAGAAGCACGAATTACTGTGTCTTAGTTTATTTCATCACTTACCAGGGAGATTAACTCATAATGACCTTGAATTCGATGAAAACAATATGTATGAAATTAAACCAAAATGTCTTCTGAAGCAAATCAGTAGGAAGAAGGCCATCAAGGATCCAAAGCCCTTCTGTCAAATCTCATTTCAGACCCCCCTTCTCATTCTCATTATTACGTCCTTGATTTAGCATGTCAGCTTCTCTCATCCAAATACCAACACCTCCTGCAGGTCTACCTGCCGTCAATAGTTATTTCCCAAACAGCAGCATCCCCATCACCACCACGCACATACCAACCTTCATAACACTGATTTTATTTAAATTGCAAACTACCTGGCTTTAAAACAAGAACAAAGAACAAAGCTTGCTTGCAGCTAGGTGAGACCATGGAACTTCAGGATCACTAAGACAGGAAACAAGGTGGAATTTCTTGGAAGGCTTAAACTAACAGGGAATGATCTTTTCTGCCTTTCTTCCTGAAATTTGGTTGTGATAGGTGAAATTCCATGAGCCATCTTGAATTTCGAGGTGACCTTGAGGAGGAAGCTATGAGCCAAGGATGGTAGTGTGAAAGGAGCACCAATCAGTGGTGAATCTGTGGCACCTCCATCTCAGTGCTAAACCTCCTCACCCCAGACTTCACAACATGAGAAACTCTGCTCCATGTGCTTTATCCATCATCATTTCTGTTTTTCACATAAGAATGTACTTGCTGCTGAGTAGAATGAAGAGCAACACAGAACCATCCCTGCCCTTTTCAGAAACACCATGGAAGTAGATGTTAATTATGGAGCTGACACCTATGTGATTATAAGTCCTGATTAGTGCAATGATAGACAAACACACAGGGATCAGGGACTCAGGAGAGGCGCCACTGAAAAAAAGTAGCACCTGAGTTGACATTTGGTGGAAAAGGAGAGACCAACAAAAAGGTGGGAAGATGGGAAGAGAGTAGACTCCAGAGGAGAGGAGAAATGTTGATTAACATTGGACTTTAATTCAAACACCCTTATTATGATAACAAAGGCAGTAATCATAATTGCAGAGAACAGCAATAAATAACAGTCAGAGGTCATTGCACACTATTATAACAAAATACCTTAAACTCAGTAATACATAAGTAATAAAAATTCACTTCTCATGGTTCTAAAGGCTGGGGAGTCCACAATCCAGGAGGCTTAGAGATGGTGAGGGCTTGGTCTGTGCCTTCATGATGGAACCTCGTTGCAGGACCTTCTGGAGGGAAAACACTGTGTCCTCGTATGATGGATAAGATGGAAGGGCAAGAGGGCCCAGCTAGATCTCTCTACCGCTTTTATAAAGTTGCTGATCCCACCCATGAGGACAGAGCCTCACAGACAGATCACCTTCTAAATGTCCCAGCTCTTTTAACTGTTCCACAGATGAGTAAATTTCAACATAAAATTTGAAGGTAGCACTTTTAAACCATAGCAATCTGCCCCTGCGTTCACCAAATTCATGTCCTTGTCACAGGCAAAATGCATTCATTCCATCCCAATAACCATGAACTTATTCCAACATCAATTTGAAGTCTAAGTCTCATTCCTCTAAATATCATCTATATCAGGTATGGGTGAGACTCAGGTAAGATTCATATGAGGCAAATCCCTCTCCAGCCGTGAGCCTGTACAATCAAGGAAGTTGTCAGATTCTGACATGCAGTGGTAGGACAGTTATAGGGCAAATATGCCCATTCCAAAGGGGATAAAAAGGCAAGAAGAAAGGAGTAACAGATCCCTACTAAGTCCTCTCACAGGTAACTGCTATTAAATCCAGAGGCTTGAGAATAATCTTTGTCAAACAATGGGGTGAGGTTGGATCTATGAGGCTCCTAGTAGCCCTGCCCCACAGTATAGCTAAATATAGCTCACACGTTCTCCTGAGTTGCAGACCAATGCCTGCAGCTCTCCTAGGCTGGCATTGCATGCTGTGCCTCTGCTGGTCTAGGGTGTTGAGCAGCCCTGCCCCACAGCTCCACTGGGCACTGCCCTAGTGGGTCATAGCAGTCCTGCCCCTGTAGCAGATCTGCCTGGGTCCTGGTTCTCCCAGGTCTCCATAGCTCTGCATTCTGTGCATCTTTTGAGTTGCACTGCAGAAACTCTGCTGAAGTTTGTCACTTGTCCCATTCATGAGGGTAATTCAAGCCACACCTGGATCCACTCAAACAGCAGTTGGGACAGCTAAGGAGCACTGTGCTAGAAAGCAGGCAGCTGAGACTTGAGCCAGCCGGGAGGTCTCACAGATAGCCTAGGTCTCCCTAAAATCATTTGTGCTCATGGCCCTGGCACTCTGGGTCTATGATTGGAAGGATAGCTTTGAAAATCTTTAAAATGCCTAGGAAATCATTCTCCCGTGGTGGTCTTGACAAATAGCTTCTGACTTCTTAACATCTATACTCATTTCCTTACCCTAACTCACCCAGGCCTTCTTTCCTAAACATGTCTTTTTGTGCTGTAGAACATGGCCAGATTAAGAATGTTCTTAATCTCAAGTTCTACTTCCCTTTTGATTATAAACTCCATCTTTACTTTTTTGTCTTTTTTCTTGTGTTTTACCAAAAGCCATGCTGTACTCTGAACCCTTTGCCTAGGAATTTCTTCTGCCGAAATCCTAGCTAATTGCCCTTTTTTTCTGCCTCCACGAAGCACTAGCATGTGGGCACAATTCAGTCAACTTTTTGCCACTTCATAAAAGGATTACCCCTTCTACCAGTTTCCAATAACTTATTCCTCATTTCTGTCTGAGACCTCATTAGGATGACCCTCATTGTCTGGATTTCTACCAACATTCTGATCAGTTGAAAAAACAACATGTACAACATACATGATGCAGCTAAAGCAATATTTATACAGAAATTTAGTTGTGAATGCTTTTATTAGGAAAGAACTTAAGGTAAACGTCCAACTCAAAAAGTCAGAAAAATAACTGGGTTAAAAAAAAGCAAAGTAGTTAATATCACATATCATAAAATAGACTATAAGGATATAATAGAATAACTCAAAAGCTGTTTTTAAAAGATTAGTAAACAGTAAAACCTCTGTGATGTATGAAACTTAGAAACGTTTAACTTTATAAAACTACAGAAACAATGACAGTGCATTTAGAAATATAGTCATTAAAGAAACTGAATAGTAAATACCAAGTAAAACAGAAAAACAGGTGTGGGTGGTTTTCTCAGAAATATTCAAGACACAATTATTCCTTATTTTACAAAATGTTTTCCAGTGAATAGAAAAATCTTAGACCAAATTCAAACATTCAAAAATGTTTTATCATTAGAAAAAAATGCAGGTATAAATCATATCATCAGCAGATTAAATAAAAATCATGTGATCATTTTAATAGCAACAGAATATGCATTGCTAATATTGAGCATGAATTTATCATTCAAAAAAACCTCTTAGCTGACTAGTTAATAGAAGGTAATTTACATAATTTAATAGACTATTTGCCAAAACCATCAACAAAAAACTTCATATTTATGGTGAAAACTTGGAGGCATTCTATTAAAAGAGGAGGCTTAGACCGGCATCCTTCTTAAGGACACTTCTCTTTAATACTGGAACAATTATCGAAAGGGGAGAACTTTTTAATTGCAGGTGATACAATTATAAAAACTCTTAGGAAAATAGACCAAATCAAGTGTTTAGAATAAAAATTCTGCAAGTTCTGAAACTCTTTCATGTCACATTTATAAAACTAAATTTATAGATCCTAAAGATGGCCTAATAAATTGTATTCTGTATTTACATATAAGATGAATTGGTATATATCTCAAAGTCTTCCCAAATTCATCATTTAAAATAGCACACATCAAATCAAAACTTTGACCACCTAAAAAAGAAGATCCTAAAGTTTATAAGCAAAGCAAGAGCAATATTTCATAAACAGTTAAGGAATTTTTTTGTGGAAGATGAAGAAGGTTAATGTAAGTCATATCAGTAATATTTACCAAGCTGTAGAAATTAAGACAATGAGGTTGACCAAGAGAGTAACCTAACTGAGTCCATGAACAGGCTCCATCTGGACAGGTAACAAAGGTGGCTTGTGACCCACAGCAGAGAGAACAGACTCTATCTGTGGATCTTAGATAGTTGACCATCAAGATGTAGGAGCACTGAGTTAGATAGCTCCCTCAAGTCATTCACAGAAGTACCTTCAAAGTACAGTGAGAAAGTGAGAAACAAAATGTTAAAACACTTTAGAAAAAAAAACAGAAAAACATATGAAGGCATCTGCATGACCTCTGGGTGGGGAAGCGGTTCTTAAAATAAGATCCAAAGACCAGACATAAAGAAAGAAAAAATCAATACAGAAAACCACATTAAGGTTGAGGACTTCCGTTTAATGATATATGTCTTAAAAGCAAGCCATGGTCCATGGGAATTTTCAGGGCATACAAACAACAAAAGAGGGTATGCAGAATGTATTCTAGAACTCCTACCATCCCAAAGCAGTGGGGAAAGTGCAAAAGTGACCAGAGTCTCACTGGCAAATGAGCATAAGAAATCATGCAATCTCCCTAATGTCGTGGAAATCCAATTAAAACAAGGAGGCACCATTTCATGTCAATATAATGAAAAGTCTGACAATGTCAATGCTTATTAAATATTGGCAAGAAGGACTTCAGAGGCCTAAATATATTCTGACACATGGGAAGGCATTTCAGCTACTCTTGCAAGGTCTAAAATGTACATTCCATGCTGTCTAGTTGGCAAGGTTGGAGAAGGGACATGTAATGTACTGCCAGGTATATGAAAGCCAAAATATCACATCCATATAATTTATGGGAACATACACAGTAAAATAGCACCAAAATGATAAACACTAAATCAAGGGATTTT